AATAAAAAAATTAATAAAAAAAAAGTAAAAAAAACATGCTACAGTTTATTTAAAAAGCATGGCTTACAATGATAAATACTTAAAGGGGTCATATGATGCTTTTTTAAAGATCATTATTTTGTGTATTTGGTGTAACAGAATATGTTAACATGCTTTAATGTTCAAAAAACACATTATTTTTCAAATACTGTACATTATTGTAGGTCCTCTATGCCCCGCCTCTCTCAAATGCTTCGTTTTCTACAAAGTCCCTCCTTCCGACAAGTGCAGTCTGCTCTGATTGGCCAGCTGACCCAGTGCATTGTGATTGGCCGAACACCACAAGCACTCGTCGGAAATGTAACGCCCCTTACCATAATCGCGAGCTTCATCTTTCAAAATAAATGTAAAGACAGCCCGAAAGGGGAACAGAGTCGCGTGACAGACACAGTGATGAAGCTGGTATGTGTTTGTGATGTGACAATGTGTTAAGAGATATAAAACATTTTCATCGCAACAACTAAATAAGGGTCTAAATCATAAGTTTAGAAAGAAAAATGATAGAAGTAGCTAGGAGAAACTCTGGGGGCTGTGAATGTCAGTTTGTTTGGTGTGCACACACACACATCCTGTAAGCTGGCATATGTACCACATCCTGTGTAAACAATATGAAGTGCATTGACGCAGATAGAAATAACATGCATAATTAAAGATAAATGTGTAAGAGACGGGTAAATGTACAGCAGAACCTCACTTGCACTTAATGTGTGGAAGAGGCCTTTTGTAGCTTTTTGGGGTGCTTAAACTGCGAAAGAAGAACACACAGACATCTTGACGAGCAGCATGACGAGGAAAACAGCGCATTAAGCCTGGCTCAGACTACATGATTTTAGCCCGATTTTGCCACGATATGCTCGACGTAGGGTGTCGTGGGGATTCGCAAATGACAATGGCTTCACGATATCACGACAGAAAGACTAGCATGTTTAATTTTTTTTAGTTCCGTCACATAGGTGACGTTGACCAATAGCAGCACAGAATCTCTTTCATACACAGTTTTCAAACATGGCTAAACGAAAGAGAGATGATGGTGCTGCTAGGTGGAATTATGAGATGGAGGAAAGGTTCGTGGAGCTGTGGGAACAGTACTCCTGCCTGTATGATGTGTCATCGAGAGACTACCACGACAGAACAAAGAAAGAAAAATGCTAGCGAACTATAGCGGAAGCGCTTCAGCAATGTTTACACTCTCGTTTTCGGAAGTCAGTCGCTAGTTCCGCCTTCTTGACGACATCACGTGCGTCGTTAAAGACGGCACGCGATGAATGGTCGGGAAGCAACGTGTAGTCTGACATGTTTCTTGTCCACGACACGACAAGATTTTAGGAGTCAAAATCGTGTAATCTGACACAGTGACTATCGTGACCGACAAAAATATTGTGTAGTCTGAACCTGCCTTTATCCCCAATTTATTTTTTAAATCCAAGCGTGGTTAGCCTACTGAAAAAGATTTTTTAGCATTGTGATTCTCTTTTTACACAGTAGAGTAGGCTAATATGCCTTGTTTAGGCTATCTAAAAGTGCACTTTTCCTTAGTCGTTTTAACCCTAGCCAAAAAATCCATGTGTTGACTGTAAAACACAGTACTTTAATTACATGCATTTATGGTGTAATTGCTACATTTTCGTGTCAATCCATGTTCATTTTTACCGCGAACAATGTGCTGTCACTTTAATTCAGCATGTGCAGCACAGCAAAAACAGACTCTGCAGACGCACCGCTCCTTGGAACCCACTGCCAGAAAAAAGACGCACCGCATATGCACTGCAAACGGAGTGTGTGTCAACCTGGCGTAATGCCCATGAAAGAACTAAATGATTAGTAAACATTTATAAATATTTATAAGCATTTACAAACGGAGAATAGCTTTAGATCGGAAAAACATGAAGACATAATTAATAAATTTGATTTGTAAAGATGCGTAAATAGGGTGAATTAAGGTCTGGGCATTGCACGATCTGCTTGAGAAGGGTCAGTCAAACGCTCCAAAATATGAAAGAGAAAAGATAGAAAAAAAAAAGTAAAAAAAAGATATTAAAACATATCCAAAGCTCACGGTGGTAGGTCATATGCTAGCAGTAGCTACAGTAGATACAACAGACTATAATTAGTCAAATAACTCTTTTATAACTTTTTCATCTTAACATAGTTGAGCCCGCAGTAGTTAGTTAAACACTAAAGACTAAAGCTGTGGGATAGGCTATAATCATTTTTATGATACATCGTGATGGTGATGTGAACGATTCTGCATAAATAATTCTCAGTGAAACTGTCAAACTCTACACAACTTATAAACAGTCTTTCATCGTGTGAGCCATCACTTGCAAAATGATCCAGTTATCAAAATCCATCAGATATGCATGTATATTCCATTAATATCTTACATAGAATGTTTGCAATGTCTGTTAAGTTTTCAAAAGGCCCGCCGTTGTAATGAAATAGGAATTGCAATCTCGCAATCAAATCTGGAAGCATATATGTGTAAGGATCCACCCGCCAGCCCAAAAAGCGGAATCCAGCGGCCTGGTCGAAGGTTTAATGCGTATTCGGTCTTTTACTCGCGCTTCTGAATTTATCAGGACTTAGTTTCAATTTTGTCTAGCTCCGTTTTCAATCTGACTCCAATTTCAAGTGATCAGTTTTTAATTAGAAATATTGCCTAAACTTAATTGTTTTATTGCATGGCGTCTGTTTTGTGTGAGCTCCTGAGTATTGGCTTCATGAAGAGTTAATTTGATAAGGAAATAATTTCACTCCTTTCATATGGAGTATAATTCAAAATGTTTATTTATTTATTTATTTATACTGACTTTTCCTAGCAATTTTTGCCTATGTTGAAATCTGTATTTAAAAACAGATGAAACTGACATTCTTGTTAAGCAATGTCAACAAAAATGTAGTCAAAACAAGAAATTTGTACGTATCAAATGTTTTCAAGCTGAAGAAACATCTAAACATTTTGACCAGTGTGGCTCACACAACAACAAAAACACTTTTTATTTTGGTTTTAATTTTCTGCCACAATAACTAGGTTCTGAAGCATGAACTAAAGGTTTTGGGTGAGTTACTACATTTTGCAAACATGCAATAGAGTGATGTTCCTGCAAACAGTTGTGAAGATTGCACCATTTCAAAAATGGCAAAGTGATTTAGAAAAAAATCATTAAGCATTAAGTGCATCTAATTATTAGAATCCTGAAGCCTTTCATGCAATAATGAAGATCTTTGATGGTCTAATATTCAAACATCTCCATTTGTGAACAGATTTATAAAGAACAGTCAATTTGCTTTCGCTTCATGTGTTTTTTAGTTTATGTTATACTGATGCTTTTCAAACGATTAAAGCTATGTATTTTATAATAAATAGTGATGCTGATAAAAATTGCCACTGTTAGTGAGGCTAGAAAATAAGTTTTAAAAAGTCTAAAAACCTGTAATTAAGCTTGTATTAGATATTATGGAATTAAAACAGCAAATTAATACATACTGCACACATCTATGTAAGCTACTGATCTTACAATTATATACTACCTAAAGTCAAATAAACACAGCAAATGGCGACATATTCTCTTTCCATTTGCTTAACACATCAAGAAGTCCACGCCCAAAGAGGAATCAGATTTAAGGTCAGAAATTTTACTCTGACACTTGACAGCTGAACAGCAGTGTCCCGTTCCACAGTATCCTGAGAGAAAAAAAAAGGTAACTTTTCTTTCAAACTACTATGCTGCTTAAAGTTAACAAATTCTTAAACTTAGCTTGTCAAAATGTATTTTCGTCTCATTTTAGATTAATAGTTCAAACTTTCCATAGGTGTTTATTAGTACTTACAAAGCACATATTCTGCATGATCATATTGTACATCCCTAATCCTACCCAATACCTAAACTTAACAACTACCTTACTAACTATTAATAAGTAGCAAATTAGGAGTTTATTGAGGCAAAAGTCGTAGTTAATGTTATTGTTAATAGCTAGAATTGGACTTTAAAATAAAGTGTGCCTGAAATTACTATTCCTGTCTTATCCAACAATATTTTACATTAACTCTTTGGGTTTTTAATCCCTCTTGTACCCAGCAGTTGCATCCAACCTGAGGACCTTGAGAATGTAATATAGCTGCTGTGAGGAACAGAGCTAATGAAATGTTTTACATTAAGAAATTATACATAGGAAATGATAATGGTAAACAATTCTTGGGAAATAAGTCTACGGCTGAGGACTGTAAAAAAAGGGAAGCAGAAACACTTGTGAATAACATTCGATATAAAATGGACAAAAGCAATACAGAGAGTAGAGGATGGTGGAAGGTGAGGATCATGAAGACGATCAAGATCTCATTCGCTGATGTGTTTTTAATAATATACATATATTTTGCACTTTTGAGTGTAGAAATTTCGTGCGAGTCATAATTTGTGCCAATGAGGCAATTAGAATAGACATCTGACTAAACACAAGGCTAGCTCAACCAGTTAAATAAACCAGTTAAATACCTGTGAATTGGTGTATTTTGTCAGAATTTCATCCTTTTGAATTTTCACCCCTTTCTTGGGGCTGTCGTGGCCTAATGGATAGAGAGTCGGATTTGTAGGTGGTGACCGAAGGTGGTGGGTTCGGGTATCAGGTCCGGCAGGGATTGTAGGTGGAGGGAGTGAATAACCAGTGCTCTCTCGACCTTCAATACCACGACTGAGGTCTGCCTCACTGCCCACTGCTCCAGGTGTGTGTTCACGTTGTGTGTGTGCATGTTTGTTCACTACTCACTGCTGTGTGTGTGCACTTGGATGGGTTAAATGCACGTCCTTTCCTTTCCTTTTCTGTGACTTTCATCCATCCCATGACTTGATAATTTAAGTGGTCACCATCTTAATTTACAAAAAATGAAAAATTAAGCACTTTTTTCAATCAGAGCTAAACATGCTGTTTTGTTGTTTTCTTTTCCCCCTCTACCTAGACTGACCATGTATGCAGTAGTTACTCTGCTGGACTCAGATGAGGTGACGGTGGCACCATCACATTGGTTGAGCTCAGACAAGAAACAATGTTACTGGCCCCCATTCAAATCAACAGAGAAGTGCATGGAAGCTGTTCAGAACAGAATTAAAGCTGAAACTGGAGGGAAGCCATGGGAGAAATTAAATATTAGCTTTCACAGAGAATATGGTAATGGTCACTATTTTAAAATAATAGTTTAAATTTAGGAATTTTACTGTCTATTAAGTTCTCAAAAAATATGATTTATCTTACAATTTATCTTACTGAAGGCACTTTTGATAAGGCAAAAGAAATTAAACAAGAAATTAAAGAACAGAAAGAACGGTAAGTATCAGACACTTGCATTTTGTTTCCAAAAACAAAGTTTGTCAAAACGGTCAAAGAATTCATATGAAGAGTTTAGGGAAACCATGGGAGAAATTAAATATTAGCTTTCACAGAGAATATGGTATGGTAATTACTGTTTAAATTTGAGATTTATTACTGTCGATTAAGTTCTCAAAAAATACAAAACTATTTATCTTATTACAGTCACTTTCGATAAGGCAAAAGAGTATGGCGTTATTTTAATGACAAATGTCGAGAGCGCATTATTGTAGCGCGAAAGCACATTAATATTACACTGTGCAATTAATATATTATTAACCTACCTTTTACCTACCTTCCTTTGACCCGCGATTCTTCCTACCCCTACCCGCGGGTGGGGGAGGAGTGCGAGCCGAGACACTAGCCTTCTAACAGAGATATGGAATCGATGGATGCGTGAGGAAAAACGGCCTCTTCCATTCCTTCTAAATCTCTGTATGAAAAACAGGTAGAAAGGAAGGCTCACCTGAGCTGGAGGGTTATGGCCAGAAAAATAACGTTCATCGAGATATTTTGCGTACATTCTATTCCATGGGTTTAATGCATTTGCAGACAATGTAATTACATGTAGCTGTCATATAACTGTATCTTCACTGTTTTAGAGGAGAGTGCCATTGAATGTGTAGCTAATATTAAGTGGATTTTCATGAAAAAAAAAAAACTCCCAATAAATGTTCAAACAGCGATGCTATTAGAGCATTTATTGTATTATATCTTGCATCATGTACATCTATTTTTGTATTTGATGTTAATTTGAGGAGTTGTTACTTATTATTGTCATCATACCAACTGAGAATTGCAATGATTTTAAATTCAGTTGAGGTATCTGACATATTATGACATAACATTGATGTTTTATATGAAGTCTTTAGAGCCATAGGCTATAATATGTTGTTTTTAGATAAATTGCTCAGAGACCAACCAGTTGGACAGAGGTAATGAAATAACATCATCCTCCAGCAGCTCACTCTCGTCCACAGCTGACGATCACGTGAGGGAAAACCCCTCTTCGAACTCATCGGCCAGATCCACCTGCGATCCCCACGAGCTCATTCTCATCCGTGCCTCAGCAGCGGCGGGTGCTACTTATTATTGTCTTATTATTGTATAATAAGCATTTATTGCAATGATTTTAAATTCAGTTGAGGTATCTGACATATTATGACATAACATTGATGTTTTATACGTTAAAACAAAAAAACAACAATAAAAAAATCAAGGAAAGGCCCTGCACAAATCTGTTTTGAGACTACTTTTTAAAAGTGCATAATGATAACTTTTGACAACGTTTAATTCAGGTGCGAAAATAATTAATATCTATAGTGCATGAGCACAGAGAGATTCGAGAGTGCACAGGACACAGTTTGAGTGAGAGGAGAGACACATTTTAAGAGCAAAAGAAATCCGCGCGCGAGCGGAGAGATTAATTATATTAATGTGCTTTCGCGCTACAATAATGCGCTCTCGACATTTGTCATTAAAATAACGCCATAAAAGAGGGGCAACAAGAATTTAAAGAACAGAAAGAACGGTAAGTAACGGATACATATTCAAGCGATTTTACCTATCAAAAGGTCAGAATTAATTTGTGCTGTTTTGTTAAAGTATTGTTTATTTTCATATAAAGGTCATTTCTACTAGCCACTGGATTCTCCAGAATACTAAGAAGACAAAGACTCGAAAGCACTCAAGAAATGTTAAAACATCAACATCCTCCTGCAGCAACTGCATCTACATCCAGATTGTCAACTGATGGTGAGTTACTTCTTTTGTCATAATCAGTTTGAGAAGTTTTTTCAGAAAACTCTGCTATGTTAAACAAACTACTCAAAGACAATACAGTTTCTGAAGCACCAGCATTCCTTCTAAAGACGATGAAACAAACCTAAATCTGCCTTTCAGAGTCAACACAGTAGTTAAAGAAAGGGATCATGTACAATCAACCACCAGAAAAATAAACTCTCACAGAACCTGTAAGGGGTTTATTCTGCAATGACTGATTATCCTGCTTATTCCACTAAATAAATAAATAAAATAAATGGACAATAAAAACTGTTATAGTATTAATGCCACTTCATTATTACTCTTCTACTACATACAAAGTTTTATATACAAAATATTTTTGTCTTTCAAAGTATTCCAAGAAATGTAATGACAATAAATAACACTTAACAGTTATAAACGGTTATAAAATAGTTTTTGTTTTTACAGGTAAAATACCTGTCAAGGATTAGAGGTTTTGGGCAAAAGGATGTGATTAAGAATATTATGCAGGAAGTCCTGTCAGATGATCTGGCTATAGTTTAACTGGCAGGGGAGATGAGATAAAAGGCCCTTCGCTAAGCTTATTTTTACAGATGTGATCAGAGGTAAACACACAACTGCATGTTTTGTATGTATTCATTCACTTGGTGAACTTTGTGATGTTTACAAATGTCAAATACCTTCTTTAGATTGTACAAGAGCAGCTTTGAGTATGATACACTGCCATCCAACAAATTTCCAGTAAACTCTGGAATTGGGATCCCTCTTTCAGATGCTGCATCAAAACAAAGTCTAACGAGGGAAGACTGTGATACTGAAATAAAAAATTATTTGTGGTCCACAACTGATCGAATCGGTCGGAAGAGACCAAGAGATTATGGAGGTGAGTGATAAATATTATGTAATGTCTTCTCACTTTCTATAGGCTGATCTTCTCCATGACTATAGGTTTAGTCAAAGCATACTTCTATGTTAAGAAACCTACATTAATTTGTTTAAAGGGGTTCTATTATGCTTTTTTACAAAGTCTTTATTTTGTCTTGGGGGTGTACTAGAACAGGCTCTCATCCTAGGTTGTTCGAAAAACACATTATTTTTCACATATTTTACATTATTACAACACCTCTCTTCCCAGTCTGGCATGAAACTCGAATAGTTCCTGTATCAAATGAAGGTGGAATGAAATACGGAATGTGCTGTGATTGGTTAGCTGGGCCAGTGTGTGTTGTGATTGGCAGCACTCGGCCTCTGGTCAGGAAATGTCATGCCCCTTACCATAGCCGCCTGCTGCAAGCTTCAGGCTAAATATTGCGTCAAAATCAAATCAATTTGAGCGTGCTTTAAACCTGGATGATTGTAACCACTCTAAGTTCGTCTGCCTTGGGAAAGCTAGCATGTCTCTGACATAGTGATAACACTCGTTGCCTTCTTTAGTGCAGCTCAATCAGGTCTTCGTCCCATTCGTCAGTATTTGTGATATCACAAATCCCAGAAAATATGTGTTGTAGTCCAAACGAGTCATTCGTTGTGGTTTTTGAAAATTGATTTCTGTTAAATAAAATATCTTCTTTTGAAGTGAACTTTGAGCTTTGTAACTTTGCAGATCTTTTTTAAAACTGTGCACGGCGACGGACCTCGCGCTTAGGGCGACGAAAGTTACGGTGCGGGCCCTGGGTCAGACGATGTCCACATTGGTGGTCCAGGAGCGCCACCTATGGCTGACCTTGGCGGATATGGGAGGAAGCCTAACAACACTCAATCCTAGTTTAGAAGCTCTTAAGAGCGGAGGTCTCAGCATAACGACTCTCTAAACGAGAGGAGACCTGACTACACTCAGCGCCAGAGGCCGTCAGTGCGGCTCAAAAAGAAAGAGCCTACAACTCATATTTACTGCCTAAGTGGAGCTCTGGTGAGCGGAGGCTTCAGCAAGATGACTCTCTTAAACGAGAGGAAACCTAACAACGCTCGATCCTGGTAGGGGAACTCTTAAGAGTGGAGGTCTTAGCATAACGACTCCCTAAAGTGAGAGGAGACCTAGCTACACTCGACGCCAGAGGCAATTAGTGAGGCTCAAAGAGAAACAGCCTACAAACTCATATGATCTGATGAGCATGAGCATCAACATGACCGGTGTCTGAAGCATGAATGAAACAACGAAAATGAACTTGACATTGGCAGGCGGCAGCCTATGACGTAAACAATAAAGCGACTGCCTCTAGAGGGCGCTAGGGGAACGAAATTCCAACGCCGCCATGTTGAGGGATGAGTGCCCAGGTAACTGGGTTCCCCAGGTCAAGACTCAAGGAACAACATCCCTGCCAGCCAAACGCTAGGCTTTACGGGCAGACTCAAGGTCGCCAAATGTCATAGACTAGCTCACCCACCAGAGTCTGGAACTCTAGAGTGGAGGTCTCAGCATGACGACTCTCTAGAACGAGAGGAGACCTGACTACACTCAACGCTAGAGACAGTTAGCGAGGCTCACAAAAAAGAGCCTACATACCAATAGTACTGTCTAAGCGGAGCTCTGGAGGGCGGAGGCTTCAGCAGAATGACTCTCTTAAACGAGAGGAAACCTAATCACACTCAATCCTAGTTTAGGAGCTCTTAAGAGTGGAGGTCTCAGCATAACGATTCTCTAAACCGAGAGGAGACCTAGCTACACACTGTCTAAGCGGAGTTCTGGAGGGTGGAGGTTTCAGCAGAATGACGCTCTTAAACGAGAGGAAACCTAATAACACTCAATCCTAGTTTAGGAGCTCTTAAGAGTGGAGGTCTCAGCATAACGATTCTCTAAACTGAGAGGAGACCTAGCTACACTCAGCGCCAGAGGCACTGACTACACTCCACGCTAGAGACAGGTAGCGAGGCTCACAAAAGAACCTACATACTAATAGTACTGCCTAAGCGGAGCTTTGGGGAGCGGAGACTTCAGCAGGATGACTCTCTTAAACGAGAGGAAACCTAACAACGCTCGACCCTGGTAGGGGAGCTCTTAAGAGTGGAGGTCTCAGCATAATGACTCCCTAAAGCAAGAGGAGACCTAGCTACACTCAACGCCAGAGGCAGTTAGTGAGGCTCAAAAAGAAAGAGCCCACAACTCATATTACTGCCAAAGACGGAGCTCTGAAGAGTGGAGGCCTCAGCATGACGACTCTCTAGAACGACTAGTAGAGAAACTCCTAAGAGTGGAGATCTCAGCATGATGACTCTCTAAACGAGAGGAGACCTGACTACACTCAGCGCTAGAGACAGCTAGCGAGGCTCACAAAATAATCTACAAACTAATAGTACTGCCTAAGCGGAGCTCTGGAGAGCGGAGGCTTCAGCAGAATGACTCTCTTAACCGAGAGGAAGCCTAACAACACTCAACCCTGGTAGGGGGGCTCTTAATAGTGGAGGTCTCAGCATAACGACTCTCTAAAACGAGAGGAGACCTGACTACACTCAACGCCAGAGGCAGTTAGTGAGGCT